CTTTACGGGAGCAAAAAGCCTCATCTTTCTACCGAGAAACAGCTGGTAGTTTCAAACTGCTGACCTTGCAGTTCACAGCCCAATTCGTAACCAAACGCTAGCAGACCTCCTTAGGGTAAAAGGGTAGAAGGGAGTTTTTGGATTATTCTGAAAAATTTTCTGTAAGTTTCAAATGATTCTTTTAAGGGTTTATATCAAAAACCAAAAGAAACCAAACTAAACAAAACCCCAAAACAACTGAATAAAAAATGAAACAGAAAAACAAAAGTTGCCTGAAATTCCACTAAGTAGTTAGAAGTTAAAAACTTTGTTTTTTTTTTCCTTTTGTTTTTAAAATAGAAATAGTATACTGAACATATTATTTGTGCCTTGTTATTTTTTCCTCTTAGCAATATATTGTGAACATATTTCTTTAATTCCAGAATTGAAGAATTCTTTTCTTCACATTTTCTTCTCCCACTGTGAGTTAAGTGATAGATCTGAAACTAAAGTCTTGATTTGATTTTTTAAAAATACAAATAATTACATAAAATAATTTCTTCTCATTGATCTTTAATCACTTATTTTGTCATTGGAATTTTGTTTTGAAGAACGTTTCTCTAATTTCTTTTGTTTTAAAACGGACGCATTGCTCTTTGTCATTCTTATTTACTGACTGTCTTTATTCACTCTGTGTGGCCCATGGTGCTGTGGGTTAATGCACCAGACTGCAAATCCATTTGAAGTGCAAGGTTGGTGGTTCAAGCTCACCAGCTGCTCCTCGGAAACCCTGTACCATGGGTTGCCATGGGTCGGAATCTACTAGACGGCACTTAACAACAATATACATAGAATGGAGTTCTGGTGTGGCGCTGTAGGATAAGCACTTGACAGTAAGGTAGGTTTGAACCTCAAGGTCGGCTGTTCAAACTCACTAGCTTCTCTTCGTAAACTCTATATAGGTTCACTATGCATTGGAACTGATTGGGTGGCACTTAACAATAATGACAACAAATACCTAGAATAATACCTACTAAGTAGTAAGTACCCTATAAATATTTCATGAATGTATAATAAATGAAGAGTTTTGTAGAAACTATTGTATTATAATCGTCTTTTGACTCTCTTTCCTGACTTCTTCCTTATTTTTCTCAACTCCATTGTAAAGTGTTTTGAAACATTTCATAATCATTTTTCTTAATTCCTTCTCAGGGATTTCCAAGGCCTGCCCTCCTTCCAGAATGGAGTCCAAGTCTACCTCTATGTCATTTGTCTCAGACATTTTATCCTGTTTCTGGACATGTGCTGATATGGTCATCTGCTTTTGCATCTTGGACATGTTTCGTGTTTATATGTGGCCTTAATACTTAATTGAGTATGTGTTTTGGTGTTTTTTATGCTTTCTGTTTGCTTCCAAGAAGATGTGGGCTTCCCTTTTCACTCTTCTTATTGCTTAACACAGAATAACTTGCACAGGTGTTGTCTGTTTGTCTGGTATATAGCAGTTGGTATTTGTTCTTTGCTGGGTTTTGGTGTTTTATAGAGTGTGATTGTAGCTTGAATATATGGCAGTAGTTGCTGACTCTTCTTGTGTAAAATATACAGAGAAAGAGTCCTCCAAAGGTAGAAGGGGGAACATATAACAACAAAACAGCACCAGCAGAAAAAAAAAAAGCAAGAGAAAAAACCAACAAACTAAAAACAGCAACAACAAAAACTAGATTGCATACTGCAGTCTATAATCACAGAAAAGGGAGATGGGGAAGAAAAAATAAATCTGTAGCCTAATATGAGTGTAACTTTAATGTCCTCTCTTCAGTTTCTTGCTTTCAAAGCTGCCTGAGAGATTTCAAGATGCAAGTGTTGGTTGTTATGCTATACCTCAGGCTTTAATTTAATTTTCAGCCTGTTTTGTTTTTAAACTCTCTTTCCCTCTCTACAGTCCCGGCCTCCCCTTTCCCGTATTAAAAAAACAAAAGACAAACAAGCAAAAATCCTTCAGGGCCTGCTCTTGGGCTGAGTATCTGTGTGCATGTGTGGCAGAAGAACCCACCCCTCTAGTCACCAGAATGGAGGTGGGCAAACAGTGACCAGATACCAAATGACCAGATACCAAAAAAAAAAAAGAAAGAAAGAAAGAACAGAAAATCAGAACAAAGCAAAACTGACAAAGTGTATTGTCTACCTTTGCTCCAAGGTTCCCGCGGCGTTTTTCCTTGGTGTTTCTGCTTCCTCACTTGGTCTTGTTTGGTCTTACCCAAGATGTTAGCTCCCGGCCTCCAAGCCCAGCCCCGCAGATTCAAAAGTACATGATTTTTTACTTAAGCTTCAAGTTCCACAATCTATAAGCCTTCAAACCTTCAAAATATTCCTATCTCTGTGGTTCCGAGTTTTGGAGCTCTGCCCTGGATCTGCTTTGCCTGGTATTCTGTGGTATAGCTGATGGCGAACTTCACTGCACCTCCACCCTAGCCGCCATCAAGCCCCGCCTCCTCTCCATCTCAATGCAATGATTACAATCCGCTGTGTGTATCATCAGTCAACAGTATTTACCTCTAGCCTCACCCTTCCCACCCTTTTTAAATTTAAGGTTTTTATTGTGGATTGAGTGAAAGTTTACAGAGCAGATCATCAGTTTTACATTCAACAAATCATATACCTTGTTTCATTACAATGATTATAATCCCCTCCATGTATCATCATTTAACAGTGTTTCTCACTATTCACTTTAGCTCTTTTTAAAAAAACAAAACAAACCACTCAGGCATATATAATAATTTACACCTCCAAAGGGTACATTCTGCAAGTCTGCTTCCTGGCCACCAGCTTTTAGTCCCTCTCTTCCCATGAATCTAGAGTCCTCAACTTCCCGCCCCCTCCCCCATCAATGTTCCCATCTCAGGTGTTGCTACTTTTCTGGATAAGGTTCCGCATTCTGCTTGTGCTCTTCTCCCTTCATGGTCCTAGGGTCCTCTGTTTCTGGACTGTAAGATTAACTACGCCCCTGTTTTTGTTACAAAACTTCTGTTTTTACAATTGTGACAGTCGCAATTAGTCATGATAACAATTATTCATTATTGAATCATACGAATCTTATCCCCATCTCTTTTCACCAGACTCATCTAGACAAGATGAAAACTATTCAGTGGGGTCTCTTTCTTCACCCACACACTCTTAAACTAAACGCCATCATGGAACCTTGTAAGCCAGTCACTTCGTGCCTTTATTGCCCTCATGCTTCTATTTTAGGTAGTCAATGTCTAAGTTGCCCGTCCCTATCTACCCTATGTACAGAGGGAATAGCACTGATACTTGACATGAAGACTCCTTCCCTCTCTGTTGGTATTTAGAGTTACTACCTCCATGAGTATATAGGTCAGGTTCATCAAATTGTAGCAATTTACCCTTGTTTCCTTTATCAGAAAAAATTTTTTTTTTTTTTTAATCTTCCTCTAGTTGAGTTCTGATTATCAAGCCATATATACGCCTGAGGCTAGGTCAAATGAGTACTGTCTGCAAGTGTGGGTGTTCTTGTGCATCTCCCTTCACTTCATATCAGCTGGAACCTTCACTCTCAGCTCTAGTCCTCTATGGCTATGTCTTTATCCATGGGCTCAGGTGTTCCCAGGTCTCACCACACCTGACTGTAACTCTTAAATGATAAATGTGAAAGAGGAATTATTAAATAAGTCATTTTTAAACTGCTGAAAGAAGACCATTTTAGAATTACAGGCATGGTATTAGCAAAGTTTCCAGAAATTAAGGCAGGCAGCTACATTTTGGTTTCCTTAATGTATGCTCACAGCACAAAAATCACAACACAAAGAAGAGATCCTCATCTAAACACATTTTTGCAATTAAGCATGGCCACACAAAGTAAAGTAGACAGAAATGTAAGGCTGGAGAAAAGCCTATAAAACATTTTTGGCTAAAATATTAGTAATTCAGCACATTGAAAACATGATTACTCAAGAATTTAGCAACCAACTTTCAATTACTTCCACTGCAAACAAAAAGCCTGAACCTGAGGGCATTTATGCTTGGGATGGTAAAGTAAGTGCTTTGGGAGGTATGACCTAGAAAAGTGGGTTGAGCCAGAGACATTTAGAATAGGTATGAAATTAGAGTTCTAGTGTGGGGCTGTAGGATAAGCACTGGACTGCAGGTGAATTTGAACCACAAGGCTGTTGAGTCAAACTGAGTAACACCTCCGTGGAAACCGTAAGTAGGATAGCTTATGAGTCAGAACTGACTGGATGGCACTTCCCAATAACAACAATAGGCCCCCAAAATAATCATCATTGAAAGTATAAATACCATCCAAAGCATAAATGTTCTTGTTGTTGTTGTTAAGTGCCATCAAGTTGGTTCTAACTTATAGAGATTCTGTATAGGGTTTCTGAAGAGCAGCTGGTAAATTTGAACTATCAACCTTGCAGTTCAAACCAAACTTGAGGTTGAGTGCTTATCCTATGGCACTACACCAGGACTCCATAAATGTCTGTATGTCCAGTCTTTTTTTTTCAGTGGAAGTAGTTGAAATTCGATGACCAAATTTTTGAATGAAGTATTATTTATGTGCTGAGTTAGTAATATTTAATACACTTTTAAGAGATTCATATTGGGATTCATATAGAATATTAAATATGTTAGTAATAGATGTAGACATATATATGTGTCACCGCCTGCTTTTTGGAAAGCCTATATAGGATCTCTATGAGTCAGAACCGACTTAACTGCACTTAACAACAATAACAACATGTATGCACATATGAGTATATCAGTAGAGAAAGACAGTTTTGGGAAAGAAAGTGATAATGCAGGATAGAAAACAAAAACCAAAGCTTTCGCATTCAAATTAGTAGCAGATTCTTAGTATAGTTTTCAAGGTGTTAGAGAAAAGAGAACCCATAGCCTAAGGCTCCTCTGAGTAGCCCACCATGTTATGTTCTTTTTATAAGCACAGCATATGTTGCCATTTCAAGTTTCATTTCACAGTTAGATAGGTAATAAACTCTTACGATTCTATAATAGTGGAAAGTCGTAGCATGAATGATGCTGAAAGGTGGCAGTTCTGGAGGAAGACCCACTGTTTTGCTTTCTTCAGTCTCTTTACAATGAGGTTTTCTGCTTTATCTGCCTGAGCACAACCCAAAGAAATCATGGCCACATGATGTGTTGTTCCTTTGAACTCCTGTGCAAATCTCAGGAGAAGACCGGTAGGATCAATCCCTGTATGTAGGAAAGTATAACTGTTAATTTATATAACTTCCTCTTAAAAAGCACAATCCAGTATTTATTGAGTCATGGTAGGAGAATGAAAAGACTATAGGTTTTGAAATTAAAGTCCAGAGTTCACATTTTGGCTTTGCCTCTTACTAGCCAAGTGACCTTGGATTTGTAACATATGGGATGATAATATTTACCTCAGCAGTAACTGCTAGTTACTTGTCTACTTTCTTTTCTGTAGATGAACCTTAAAATGTTATTTGTGATGACTGCATACTATGCTAAAATATTCCATTTTTAGCCTCTCCTGGAGCTAGGTATGGACATTAAAGTTTTGTGAATAGGTTTGGTAGCAACAGTTTGTTGTTTGCTGTCTCTGTAAAGGAAGCAGGTATGTTGTCTTTTTTCCATTCTGCTGCTTACAACATGAATGTAATGACTTGAGCCCCTAGCTGCCATCTTGGGTTAATTTTCAAAATAGTCGACAGCATGGAGTGGCACTGTAGGATCAGCATTGATCCTACAATGTGGACAGTTCAAACCCACCAGCCACTCCACGGACACCCTTTACAGGATCGCTATCAGTAGGAATCGACTCATCGACACTTAACAACTATGATTGTGGCACTGTAGGATGAATACTGGACTGCTAACCAAAACGTTAGAAGTTCAAACCACTAGCCAGTCCTCAGAAATCCTATACAGGGTTACTGTGAGTTGGAACCACCTCAACAGCACACCACCACCCACCATTCACCCCCCACTATAAGTGTGTCTGGCTTATAACCAGTAACCAGTTATCATCAAGTCCATTCCAACGTGGAGACCCCATGTGTGCTGAGTAGTGCTCCATAGGGTCTTCAAGGCTGGGACCTTTCAGTAGCAGATTGTCAGAACTTTCTCCCAATATATCCATGGATGGGTTTGAACTGCCAACCTCTTGGATAGTAGTTGAATGCTTAACCCATTGTGTCAACCAGGCACTCTGTCAAGCTTTCAGTCAGATGCTTTACATAGGAAGAAGCTCCAGGTGAGAAAACCTCCAGTCTGGACATTCTTTGCTTAATGAGCTCAAACTTTTAAATTAGTGAATTTTAAAGACAAGTAAGATTTGGAGGCTGTGATGAACAGAAGATAAATGAAGAAAATATTCTGCTAAGATTTTATATAGCAAACATAGGAAAAAAGGAAAAAAAAAGAATTTGGAGGATTATAAGGGCTGAGCCAGCAGGGCCAATTTCTGATAGTTTACTACGTCTATGTATACATACATACACACATATACATATGTATGTATGTATGTACATATAAGTATGTACCTACACATGTGTATATATGTATATATATACACATACATACATACATAGTGGTGGTGTGCCGTTGAGTCGATTCCGACTCATAGTGAACCTGCATAAGGTTTCCAAGCCTGTAAATCTTTGTTGTTGTTGTTGTTGTTGTCAGGTGCCATCGAGTCAGAACTGACTCATAGCGACCCCATGCACAGCAGAACAAAACAATGTCCGATCCTGGGCCAACCTCACTACCGCTGCCACACTTGAGTCCATCAAT